TCATTTGGAATTTCAAACGATTGCTCTTCCTTCCACCATTCTATAAATACCGAAATTCTCTCATTTGTACTTTACGCTTTCAAATTTTCTGAAATTCTTGCCATCGCTCTCCAGTGCATCCCTTCCTTCCAGATCTTCGCCTTTAAGTGTCGCATTTTTTAAACCCCCTTACAATGGTTTCCTTCATCTCCAAGCTTTCCAAGAAATGTGACCAATGTCAGAAAATTATTGATCGAAGTTCGATCAAAACCATATGGTTCGAAAGTGACATGAGTACCCCCCATCAAATCTTGGGTCATCTCTTTAAAGCGGCAGTACCCTCAACCATAACTGGACTTCTCCAGGAGCACTGCCTATCACCCTTGCTACAAGGGTTTGAATGGTCGAAGTAGGATATGGCAATGCCTCAAGGCTCTTGGCCCTCGACCACTACAACCTGGGCAGCCTAGGTTGTACGAATGGAAAAGCTCTTCGGCGAGCAATGGAAAGCCCTCGGCATCTACAACGTCATTCACCTCTCGTCCATGGAGGTCATCCTGGATAATGAGCTCCTCCTAGCGGCTTTATACTTCTGGTGTTCGGCCACCAACACCATGTTCCTCCCTCTCAGCCCCATTGGCCCTACCATCTTTGATCTTACTGCTATCTTGGGGACTTCCCCGACTGGAATCCCAATCGACGCTGCCCTCTCTGGGTACCCGTCGAACCTTAACTTGAGGGCGCTCTTCGACAAACAGGCCCTTGAGGCGCTAAGCGGTGAAGGCCAAACACCCTCGAAAGAAGAGGTTCACAAGCTTCACAATAACTTCTTCAACTATAACACCCTCTATCTCCATTTTGCTGGCCGAGAAGAAGAGGCTCTGGGAGAAAGAGAACATGAGGCTTTCCTCTTCTATTGGTACAACAAATTTATCTGTTGTACCAAATCTCATAAGTGTCTGGTCGAGAATATGCCAGTGGCCGAAGCCCTAGCTAGCGGTCACACTCTAGCACTCAGCCTGGCCATTCTCGCCCATCTCCTACGCTGCTTGGCCGAAACGACCCTAGATAAGATCGATCCGCAGCAAAATGATCCCCTCTGGGTCTTCCAACTCTGGTTGCAGGTCTACTTTGCTCATTTTCGGCCAACGATTGCTGATTTCTTGCCCAAGGAAAAGTTCGACCCTCAACTGGCTTTTCAGCCCATCCCCTCTTACCAAACCGAAGAAGTGTTCAGATACTTTTTCACACTTGACGACCTTTCTGATGACGAGTTCTTGATATGCCGTCGTCGTGAATACCCATCGTCGATCAGACTTCTTACATCAGCGTGGGGCACGAACGAAGATGCTGTCCTTCGTCAATCCTGGGGTCTTTCGTGCTTGCCCGCAACCTGCCTCTTGGCTGTGTTGGTCACCGAGCGAGTTGGGAAGTGTATTATCCCAACTTCCTCGCTCGGCAGCTTGGCTACCTCCAAGGTTGCCCAGTCCCCCTTCTCTCCTCACGGTCTGTCCTAAAGCCGCGGACACGAACCTGGCTCTTCAGAAAATGAATGCAACGACGCCAAAAGAGAGTTCCACGAGCGGTGCCAAATTTTTTGTCTTCGACCGGTCACTTCAGAACCTCTTTACACTGACACTTTCGGTGATTGGTGGGAAGAGTATACCCAACAGTTTTTTGGCGTTCCGGTCGAAACCGTTCTGAACAAAATCTTCCGTGATCGACCTAAGAAGGCTCCTGCCCCCCAACCCCAAGGTAACGGTTTATTTCTACCTTTTTCCTTCAATTTTGAACTACTGATCGGCTTTGCTGATTTGCTTTTACTTTCCTAGGCAGTCGGCCATTGAAAAAGGTGGAAGTGGTTACTGCGGCTGCGGTCGAGAAAAAATCGATCGTTATAAAGAGGGCTAAGACCGCTGTGCAACCTGTGTTGAGCAAACGACCTCGTCAAGAGGTCGAGTCGGCCATCGAAGCTCCTCGACCCGCCAAACGAGTCAAAAAGCTGGCGAAGAAAGGGGAACGGGAGATTCATGTTATCTCCAGTCAAACTACGGGGGCGACGACTCCCAGTGTTTCCCATTCTCCCCCCATCACCCAAGCTTTGGTTGAGAAACGACCAATTCCAGCCGAAGAAACAGTCCAAGTACGGCCTGTTTTTAAAGTCGGTAAACCAGTTATTGTTCCACCGGTCAAGGCCGCACTTGTCCTGGAAGAGGTAGTCCCTGTGACCGAGGGAACTTATCCTAAAAATCCAAAACCCTCGGCCTTCGTTCTGGAAGAGAGCGACAGGAATGATGAGGTTCCACTGGCGTGTCGCTTTCAACCCCGCCGTCAACCTCCTCCTGTGTCCGAGGTGGCTGTCTAAGTCAGCCCTTCTACGAACGACCATGGCAAACGACCTACCGAAGAGCCAGAAGCGGTGGCGGGGACACCCGTTCATCCGCAGGAACAGGACCTCCATATTTCTCCGCAAGAAGCCACTTCGGCCTTCGTAAGTACTACCGCCTTTCCTTAGTTATTTCTCTGCCATAGAACTCTAAACCAGGAAAATACTAAATGTCAGGTGCCTCATCCTGTGTCCAAGGCGGCTGTCCAAGTCAGCCCTTCTACGGCTGACCGTGGCAAACGACTTGCAGGAGAGCCAGAAGTAACTGCGGAAACGCCCGTTCATCCGCAGGACCAGGACCTCAATATTCCTCCGCAGGAAGCCACTTCGGCTTTCGTAAGCACCCCCTACCGCCTTTCTTTGGTTATTTCTCTGCCATAGAACTCTAAACCAGGAAAATGCTAAATGTCAGGTGCCTGTACACTCTTTTCATCGAAAATTCTATCCGTCGAAGGGTGTTATCTATATTTCTTGGCCGCCTCAGTGGCCATCGAACGTAGATAACCTCCATCAGCCGCGTGAACTGAGTAGCAATCTAAGATACTGGGTTCGGCCATTAAGTTCTTTAGGTTCGAGCAACGATCCTGAAGACATGGCCAAAGTCTTCTCTCGGCAGGTTTAAAAAACAAAACCTTCTTGCTACCTTTTTCATGATTTCCTTGAGCTTAAACTGATTTTTATGTGCAGGCTTCATGGGAAGTCAAGTTTAAAGCCCTTCTATCAAGTACTATTGGAGCGGCTAGCCCTTCGGTCCCTACAACTGACCCTGCCCAACTGCTCTGGTTCGGGTGCAAGAAGTTTTGTCTCTCTCTGCGTCGCAAGTCCTTGAACGCAAAGGCCTTGATTTATTGGGTGCCTGCCTAAACGACCTCGGCGCAGATGGCCAAATGAGCGCCGAAGCCATCATTCAGGCGTCGTCTGCCTTAGAGCGAGTTCAGGAGATTTTTAGTGTCCTTGAGAACGCTCTTCGGGCTGAACAAGATCTGAAAGCTGTCATGGCCGTCCAAGACACTCTTCGTCATAAGATTGATGCTTTAAAGGCGAAAGGGGAAGCCTTGGACGACCTCGACCGTCAAATAGCCGAACTGGCAAAACGAAGGTCGGCTATTGCTTCTGAGATTACGAAAGACTTCGAGTTAGGTGGTAAAGATTGTCTGACTGAGTATGCGGCGAGCGCAAAGCGAATCGAGCAGTTGAAGATGGACAAGAAGAACCGGCAGACCGAGGTCATAATAGGCGAGGTGCGGTGGCTAGAGCTTAAGGCTCTTCTCGGCACTCTTCTTCCTTCTCGCCCTGAATTTATTTTAATGTAAACTGATCGACCAACTCAATTTGTGTATTGTTCTATCGATCTTAATGAAATGAATTTCTATTCCCGCATTTCCCATGTGACCGGATAGTACTTCTTTAAAAACTTCCCATTGATATACGCCTTTGCCGAGAACCTTATGTACGGTGAAAGGCCCTTCCCAAGTCGGCGACCATTTGCCGAACCTAGGACCTTTAATTCCTACGGGCAACACCATTTGCCAAACTAATTCTCCTTCGCCAAATGTTTTCTGTCGAACCTTTTGATTGTATGCTCGCTTGGCAATCTGTTTTTGTGCCACCAGCAAGTTATAAGCATCGAGTCACGCTTCTTCTAAGTCTTCTAACTCATGTCTCATGGACTGATTATATTCGGCGATGAACAGACTACTATGTTCAATTATTCGTAACGAATTTATGCTTAGCTCGACTGGTAACATTGCGTCGTGTCCGTAGGTTAGTGCATACAGGGTTGTCCCAGTCGCTGATCGGAGTGATGTTCGATATGCCCATAAATTCTCATTTAATTTTAAATGCCACATGCCAGGCCTCTCTTTTATTATTTTCTCGAGAATGTCGATCAACACTTTGTTACTTGCCTCGGCCTGCCCATTTCCTTGTGGATAATATGGTGTAGACTGTTCAAGCCAAATTTTCAAACTTGCCATATATTCTTTAAACCTCTTGGCTATAAAGATTGTTCCATTGTCAGTTATAATCGTTTCTGGTATGCCAAATCTGGTCACAATGTGTTTTTCCACAAAGTCGTAAACTTATTTAGACGTTAGCTCGGCATATGATTTTGCTTCGACCCACTTAGTGAAGTAATCGGTTGTTACCAGTATCCATGCGTGCTTGGTAGCCCTAGAAGATGGTTTGATTTTACCGATTACATCCATGGCCCATCCTCTAAAGGGCCATGGTTTAGTGACCGAATGTAATGACTCGGCCGGGACCCGTTGTATAGGATCATGAATCTGACACTGTATGCACCCTCATGCAAACTCGATACAATCCTTTAATATTCTTGGCAAAAAATAACCGTGTCGTCGAAGCAACCACGGCATTTTACGTTTGGACTGATAAGCTCCGCAAACCCCTTCATGGACTTCTGTGATTGCTTGAGCACCCTCTTAGGGGCCAAGGCATAGCAGTAATAGACCATCATCACCCTTTCGGTATAGCTCATTTTGATACGTGACATAGTTGTGGCGTGAACTCTTGTCTTGCGACTGTGTTTGCCATTGGGATTGTCAAGATACTGCATAATGGGCTTTCTCCAATCATCTGGTATTACCTCGACGGCACAAACATCTATAAGGTCTTGTCAGTCTAATAACGAAGGTAAGGACATGACTCTGGTGCGTATCATGTTGTCGTGTCGGAGGACTTGCTGGTTAACCAAGGCTGGGTATAGCTGTCGTAACACCAGTATTTCTCGGCCTAGCTTGCCCCCCAGCAGTTGTGCACCCGATGCGATTTGAGCCAATTCGTCTGCGTCGGTATTATGGATCCGGGAAATACGTTAAAATGTAATACCGTCGAAGGATTCGGCTAAATAGCTGGCAACCATATGGTAGGGTCCAAGGGTACAACTCATGCATCAAAAAGACCCATTAAGTTGGTTAATCACAAGTTTGGAGTCACCGAGGATGAGGGCACGGGTTGCCCGCAAGTCATAAAGGATGTCAAGGCCGATGATAAGTGCTTCGTATTCGGCCTGATTATTTGTGCATTCAAAATCCAACTTGAGCGAAAAATACGAACGATCGTGGTTTGGGGATTGAATGACGATTCCGACGCCAGCGGAGGATGAAGTACTTGAGCCATCAAAGTACATCGTCCAGTAGTTATCGCGCGTTTCAACCATGCCGATTTCGACGTCAGTGCCCCCAAAACCATAGGGGGAAGGGTGTTGAGCGAGGAAATCAGCCAGTGCCTGGCCTTTGACAGCTTTCTGGGGCACATATTGCAAGCTAAACTCTGACAACGCCATTGTCCACTTCCCAATTCGGCCTTTTACGATTGGTCGGGGTGAGCATGTAGCGGATGACGTCGGTCTGGGCAATGACTTGTGTGACCAATGGGAGCATGTAATGCCGAAGCTTGGAGGCGGCAAAAAATACGGTGAGACAGAGTTTTTCGATGGCAGAATTATTGATCTCCGGTTGATTGAGATTTCGACTGAGGTAGAAAATAGCCTGCTCTCGTCCGGCATCGTTGTCTTGCGCGAGGAGGTAGCCGATCAACTCTTCGGCTGCCGAGATATATAGCTTGAGAGGCTTACCGCACCGGGGTAGGACAAGGACAGGTGGTGTCGTGATGGAGACTTTTATTTGCGTAAACGCCGCTTGATGCTCGTCTTTCCACTCAAATTTATCTGAGTCCTTAAGTTTCAAAAGCGTAGAGAACGCTTTCATTTTACCTGTCGAGTTAGAGATAAATCGATGGAGAAAATTTATCTTACCGAGTAAGGACTGTAGTTGTTTCTTCGTCGTCGGGGGTAGAGCATTGATGATTGCGCGTGCTTTATTTTCATCCACTTCAATCCCACGGTGATGCATGAGGAAGCCGAGAAAATTACCGGCCGACACACCGAATGCACATTTGGCAGGATTCATTTTGAGGTTGTGTTGACGCATACGGAGGAAAGCCTGTCGAAGATCATCCAGATATGTCTGCTGACGTTTAGATTTAATTACAACATCATCGATGTAGACTTCGACGATGGTTCCAATTAAATCATGAAATATTTCATTGCTCGTTGGTATGTGGCGCCGGCGTTCTTGAGGTCGAATGGCATGACAACCCATTCGTAAGTGCCGAGGGCCCCCGAGTAGCGAAAAGCAGTCTTGTGCACATCGATTAAAAGATAAGATCGCATGATTCGCCACGGCATGTCCATCCATAAAAGATAAGATCGCATGATTCACCGTGGTATCGATTAACAAATCCGAAATCGGCATTGTATACTCATCTTTGGGGGTTGCTAGATTCAGATTTCTGAAGTCGATGCAAATGCGCAATGCACCACTTTTCTTTAAAACATGAACGATATTGGCCAACCATTCAACGTATCGAGCTGTCCGAATGAACCGTGCTTTCAAAAGTCAAACAAGTTCATCCTTGATACCGAGTTGCACTTCGGTCGAGAATCGTCGAGGTGGTTGACGGAAAGGTTTACACTCAGGTTTAATATGTAACTCATGCTCAACGAAAGTGCGATCTAAGCTAGGCATTTCATGGTAGCTCCAAGCAAAACAATCTTTGAATTCCTCAAGCAGGGCAAGAAGTTCAGCTTTCATAGGTTGGGGAAGTAAAACACTAATAAATAAAGGTCATGGGTCATCGGCCGCCCCAACATTAATTTCTTCCAAGGGGTCCTTAACTTGGCGCCGATTGTCTTCGAGCTCGGCCGGGGCAGCTTGAATTTTGTCAAGAGATAAGACAGGACCATTATCTCCTTTGGCGAGGAACTCGACGAAATTAACGCCCGAATTTGGTTACTTAGATATAATATACCAATGAGCCAGCAGTCGTTCCATAGTAGATGAAACCGTGGCCCGACTTTTTTCCCGATCAATGTCAAACATCGGGGTCGAGGATGAAGTTAGCTAAATCGAGTCTCGTCGAATCCTGGTGGACAGTTTCGGCATCAACCTCGATAGCTTTTTGAACAGAAATCCGAGTTGGTCGTCATTCATCATTGAAACCCTGTCGGGTGATGTAGCCGACGTGGTCATCATAATACCGTGCTTGGATCATGTTAGCTTCGAAGGGTTGACTATCGGCTCGATGAACAATGACCGATTTACCGTCTCAAAAAATGAGCATTTGATACAATGATGAAGGAATACAGCTGGTTTGATGAATCCAGTCTCGACCGAGCAGTGCATTATACTCGATCTTGGAGTCGACGATAAAAAAGACGGTCATGTGATTACGGTCGGTAATGTTTACCGCTAAAGGAAGCACCCCTTTGGTTTGGGATTTGTCTCCGATGAAACTGCTCATTGTGATCCCGGAGGGAATAAGTTCTTCATTGGAGCGACGTAATGCCTTCATGACGTTTACAGGCATGATATTGACAGTGGCTCCACAGTCGACAAAAACTTTGGAGACTGGATACCCTTCGATATGGGCCGTTACATACAATGGCTTCAAATGATGAAGTTTGGCTGATGGAGCGAGGAAACAATTAGGCCAAAACTGCCTTGAGATTGTCATCTTTTGTTGTCGACTCGACTTCAGCAATGGTTACAAAATCAATGTGACCGGTTTCCTCTGCAACTACATCGCCATTGAGGAAATTCGGTTGAGCTGTGCTCGACTGAAAATCAGCAGGCAAAATATGGACCATACTGATTTCCATGTCATCTAGGACTGACGGGCCCATCAGGTTACGATCATCTTCTTCAGCCTCTTCTCTTTCCTGGTCACCGACTGCGGCATCCGCTTCCGTCAAAGTTGTACCAAGAGGCTCATCTGCCCCTTCTTCAATAGTTTGTTCCCGCGGCGTCTCTTCGGCAACCTGTTGGTTCTGTGTAGGTGTCTCAAGTGGGTCTGAGATCAGAAGTGTGCCTGGGATTGGTGCCAGGATACGAGCTTGCTCTTGGTACATTATACGGGCATCCCTGGTGTTGAGATAGGCATCCAACTGTGTGACTCGTGTTATTTCATCGGCCGTAAGGTCGAAAAGAGAAACAGTCGAAAAGATATCGAAATGGTATCGTAAATACTATAGGTCATCCATTCAGAAAGGAAGGTCGGCTGCATCGATATCAGTATATGGGTTAACTTCAAAACCAAGGACTCGAGCTTCTCGTATGTGCTGGAACCTAGCTTTCAATTCTGGATCTGAGGTCTTCTGAATAATTCGCTCGGCATCCAGGCAAGTTAGGACGAGATTTATTGTATCTTGACATGCTTTCGGTAAACCATATAGATCGTTGGCCGAATGTTTTTTATGAAACTCACGCATATATTCCAAGGCCTCCCCGAGGAATGGTGGATGTAAATTCCGTGGAATTTTAATCAAAAGTGCTTATGTGGTTGGCGGGGGCAATTTGCTTTCAGCTTCTTGCCTGAAATGCTCGAAGCGTGCCTTCATCTCCCTAGGCCGCAGAAGAAGTTTGATCCATTTATCAGCTTTCTTAAACGTGGTTTCAACATCTCGATTGACCAGCCGTTTCCCTTGAACCAGCTATGTCATAATAGTTGGAGATGGTCGTTCATCGTTATTGGCAACTGTTTCCTTCGGCCGCCATTTAGGGACCGAAGTTTCTTGGGCTGCCCGTCGGTGGGCCATGCAATCTATTCTTTGGTGCCGACGTTTCTGGGATTTGGACAGTGCAGTGTAGACACCTTTCGAAGAGTGATATGTAAACCAACGCTGGTCTCGAAGTTCGGGAGGTTTGAAAGTTTTTTGGCTCTGCGATGATTCCGAGCTGCTAGAATTACATATGTAATAATCTTCGTCATAAAATGGAGCATCAAAATCGAGGCGCCGTCTGACTGAAGGTGTCTATTCCACCTGTACTTTAGGATCGAGCCTATAAAAACCCCCTTGATGTTGGCCTACGTTGAGCACCTTTGGCTGTGTTGCGGCTATAGGTTGTTCCATTGTAGGCGTTGATGACTTTTCCTTTGGCTCGGTGTTGACATTTGCTGCATAAAACTGCCGACCCACTGTCTTCATCAGTGCTATAATCTATCATGGGCTTGACAATAGCGGGTCTCGTTAGAGCTGTAGGTGGTTTGTTTGAACGAAAATCAGCATTGAAACGTGGCCGAGAATTCTGATTCAAAGAACGTTCCGGTGTAGCGACCCCTGCTTTCCCTTTTCCTTTGTCCCTAGGTAAGCGAGCATCTACCATATTTACTGTTGTCGTGGGGAATTGGTCGGTATCAACATTCATCTTCTTCTCCGGAAATCTGAGTTTGCTGTTATCAATCCAGCTTTGGATATTGTCTCGAAACACGACGCAATTATTTGTCGTACGTTTGCTTGAATTATGGTATTTGCAATATATTTTTCCTTTAAGCTCGTCGACCTTGTGAATGGTATGCCCATGCCGAAGTTTGATGATCTTCGCTGATAGCAATTGATCAAAAATTGCATCGACCTTTGTAATATCAAAAGTATAGACTTTTGACGTTTTCATCGTTTCTTCAGGGGCCGAGCGGGTTTTGACTTCCTTAGAGTCAATTTGAGTCAGTGCCTTGCAAACGTATGGCTTATCTATGACTATCTCAGTTGCGTCCACGCTAACACATTCACCTTCGGCCAATGCATAACTGACAGTGGGATTTTTGTAGATCGTTCCTCTGGACGGAGCTTTCGAGATCTTCTCTTCACGGAGCAAATAATCTCATTGCTCGACATGCTGGGCTAGTTCATACTTATCCTGAAAGTTTGCCCCCAAGAATTTCTTTTTGTATTCTACGTCAAGACCGTTCAGAGCAAGTCTAACGAATTCGACTTCGGGGAGAGGTACTCGGCACCAATTCCTGGCTGATTTAAATCTGGTAAGATAATCCATTGGTGAATCGTCGGATGCTTGAGCCATCCTTGCTAACGAGGATACTGACACTTCCATCCCTGGCCGATAAAACTGCTCATGAAATTTCTCGACCAACTCCTCCCAGCTCTGGACAGAATTCGGTGGGAGGTTGATATACCAAGAAAATGTTAAACCGGTCAGCGAAAAGTTAAACAGTCGCAGCTTGTGAAAGTCGCTATTGACATTTCTGCATTGCGCGGTGAAACGAGCCACATGTTCCAACGAGGATAAGGATGATTCTCCGGTGAAAAAGCTAAAATCAGGGATTTTGAAACCTCTAGGGTATTCGAATTGTTCCACATAAGCTGGATACAGATGTATAAATTTAGGGAACTTCGACCCTTTCTTCATGGCCGAATCGATCATCCGTTGGACCTCGATCATATCGACGAATATTGCTTCCACTCTCTGGTCGGATCCGTCTGACCTACTATTTGATCCTCCTTTTTTTTCCAAGTTAATTGGTTTGAGCCGAGCAGGGGTTGACTCGGCCGGTGCAATTGGTAATAGATTATTTTTTTGTGGCAAGTGTTAGGCAAGATCGAAAGACCTACTGTCGCTGACCTTACTAACCAGTATTTCGAGTAATCTGGTTTGTGCCTCACTGGTATTGCGTATCACGTCATGAAGTTTATCGATTCCTTGACTAAACGTCTATTTAACCGTCCGAGATTGCTCGTCAAGTCATTTTCAAAGAAACGATCTTGTTGGTGGATCAGATCCCTTGCCATCATCCTCGTCATAATCATCCATTATCCCTTCATTGAGAACGCAGGTGTTCCTGTTAGGGATTTCAAGACTGCGAAAATGACCGCCGAGATTAACTTCCCTTTTCTCGACGAGTCGCGCTCGTGGAC